TCAGTGTCCTGTCCTTCCAAGCTGATCCTTTGGGATCAGGCAGGCATTGCCCACCAGCACCTCTGGAAAGCCCCTGAGCCCACAGTGCCTCCTGGAATGACCTCAATGCCCTAAAACACACAAGACTGACAAACAACACGAAAAGAAGGTACTTCTGGTTCAAACACTGCCTTGGGATGCAAAGGCCTGCGGGTGGGACACTCCAGTGGGCAGCCAGATCCTCGTGGATCCAGCTGTGGGGTTGGACCTGGCTGTGGGAACACTGCCTGATCCTCTGATCCCCCCTCAGCCTGCCCAGAGCATCCCAGGAGGTGCCTGGCCCCGCAGGATCGAGCCCTCCCAAACAAAACCCAGTCACAGCAAAGCTTTGGAGGCCAGAGGGAGCAGCTCCCACCGGGATTGATCCCAAACCATCTCCCCCAAGCACAGGGACCTGGTGTTTGCTTCGTGTCCCTGACGCCCTGCCAGGGCTGGGCTCCCAAAGAGCCCATTTACAGGGATAATTCCCCTCCTCCTGTGCCCAGGCAGGTCGACACTCACAGCACTAAAGACAAACCCCATTTCCCTCGGGGTTTTTAACTTTTTCCTGATTTTTTCCCCTCAATCCACTGCTGTATTTTCCATTTATCGTCTTGAAACCACGGGAATTCCCCCCTGTTGTAAAGGAAAAAAAAAAAAAAAAAGAAAACCACCCTAATTTTCTGTAAGCACCAAAGTAATCCTTGAGCAAAGAAATTATTTGGAAAAAGCAACAAAAAGACATTTTCCATGGAAAGCTTGAGAGGCTTTGCACAGCCAGGCAAAAAAAGCCCTAGAAAACAAACAAAAAAAAGGAGATATTTCAACCAGCTTTATCAGCACAGAGCGTGGGACTGGAAATGAGGGTGGCACACCCAGCCAGCATCACCAGGAGCCAGTTTGGAGTTAGTTTTCCTTCACATCCAAGTTGCAACATTCCGATTCTCCAGTGGGATCTACATCAATTAAATTCTTTTTTTTTTTT